CCAAATAGGACGAAACGTGCGTCCTGGATTCCACTGCTAGCCACTATCCAGCTCTGCTTGCAAAAGCAGTAATCGTACATAAAACTGTAAATTGCATTCATCTTCGTTCTAGACGTATCGATGATTGTCAGTTATGAAAATGTACTAATAAAAGTATTAGAAATTCCATAACTTAATGAAGATAAGCTCATTACAAAATAAAGAACATAATATACATTGACTAATTTATAAAAACAAATGTGATGATAAACAATAACAAGAATGTATAATCATTGATATTTCTACAATAAGAATAACTGAGGTCAGTGGACAGATCACACTGCCAGATAATGCAAACTATTATTATCAGAGGGTTTTTTGTGGAGATTTCAGTATTTTCATAGTTGAAAGCATGGTAAGTCCTGGGTTCGAATCTCGTGAGGCGGTATCGTGGATGCGCATTGTTGAAGAGTTCCACAATATAGGACGAAACGACTGTCTAGTACTTCCATGTTTTTTCTTGGTGGTCTAACTTCTATTGACTCCCGCTTTCATCTATCGGTTTTCACTTCATTTTTTTCATTAAGAAAAGTAGTTATCTTTTGAGAGATGAAAATTCTATTCATCTTTGCTTTCAGTGTATCGTTGATTGTCACTCATATGAATCTACTATTAAAACATGGCTTCGGTTATTATATTCTGGATTCATATCACCTTTGCCACATAATAGAGAAAACTATTTTATTTGATTGATTAGAAAGAATATAGTAATAAACAAGAAGAAAGTTCAGTCATTCATACTTCTATAAACAACAACTAAGGTAATCTTAGAGATATTTACAAATTACATTCTCATAGCTGAATTAAGACCTTCTATGAATTGACAGATAAACTATTTATTTTCATCAGAAAGGGGGTTTGTGAAGATTTTAGTAATTTTATAGCTGAATTCATGAATTAATTGAAGTTAAACCCCATCATGGAATACCTGGAAGTACTGGATGGTCGTTGATGCTCATTGCTGAGGAGTCTCTCAGCAATAGAATGAAATGTCCATCCAGTGCTTCCACAGTGTAGTCTTCAATTCATTCATGATTTCACCAAAATTGCTCTCTGTTTGTCACTCATATGAATTTACTATTAGAACTTGGCATTGTTTATTATTATAGTTTGGATGTATATCACCTTCACCATATAATAGAGAAAACTATTTCATTTGGTTGATTAGAAACAATGTGAAGATAAACAACAAAAAGGTTCCATCATTCATATTTATACAAACTGAGGTCATCTTAGAGATATTTGTAGATAGTATACCCCATTATTATTATCATTGTTGTTGTTGTTACTTATAGAAAACTACTTTTTTGTGTGTGTAAAAGAAAACAACCTCATATTAGATTAGAACTTAGATAGATCTAGTGATTCTATTTGATATTCATATATAGAATGGTGACTGAGTCGTCAAATTATAGTCCTCAGTGAAGAGTTTCGAAAGGATGTACGGAGTACATATTGAGTTCAGGTCAAACAAGTACGGTAGTTACTTACTTACTTCCTTACTCCTGTTACTCCTAATAGAGGGTAGGTCGTCGACCAGCTTTCTCCAACCCACTCTGTCGTGGGCCTTATTTTCTAGTTCTATCCATTTTTTGTTCATTCTTCTAATGCCGGTCTCTATTTCTCGGCGTAATGTGTTCTTTGGTCTTCCTCTTCCACTTTGGCCTTCAGGATTCCATGCGAGGGCTTGTCTTGTGACGCAATTGTGTCATTTTCTGAAAATGTGCCCAATCCACTTCTTCCTGATTTCTTCCTCCACTGGATGGAATCTGATTTGTTGTCTCCCACAGTAACTTGTTGCTGGTTAAAAAACGCTAATCCGAAAACAAGTACAGTGCATGGAGGAAAATATGTTGTCGGACAGTGTTGTTTTCTAAATAATTTCAACCAGTTGTTTCTTCAATGCATATTCGATTAGCTTTTAAGAATAGAGAATGGATCAAATTGCTCTTCCTTCTCAGAGCACCTAACTCCATAAGTTCCACTATAGCCTGTTACACTTCATTTCCATTGAGCTCCACTACATTTGTTTTTATTAGCTTTCATAATTGTGTAAAACACCTCTATTGTAGAGAGTGAATCGAATTGCTCTTCCCTCTCAGAGCACTGATCTTCACAAGTTCCACTATAGCCAGTTTCACTTCATTTCCATCGATCTCCACTTCACCTACATTACAACGGACTACTACTACTCGAAGTGTCACATTATGGACCAGTTTTTTTTTCTTTATTCAACTGCACTATATTTCGTACTTGTCTTCCTTTTCTACTTTGTCAATCGTCTCAGTGTTTGTCGTGCAAATGAGAATATTGGTTTCAGTTGACCGATATATGATTTAGTTACGAGTAGAAATAAGATTTTCTGATGTCTTCTGACTCAATGTAAGCAACGTCTTCCTAGCAATCAAACAGTCACTTTGTCAGTCATTAAGCGAATGATCAGAATTGCTTATCATAATTTTGAATGGTATGAAGGAACAAGATTGAGTATTCAAATGAATTCAAGTCAAAATAAGCGTGATCCTGTCAGTGTCATGTCGTTTAGATCCAAGTCATTCTGTGTGAATAAACACCATGTTTGAAACTAGGTGTGTGTTTAAATGGGTCTGTGAAATGTGGCATTTGTTATATAAAAGAGTAGCGTGGGAGGTTACGTGTTCACATTTGTTTGTGTGTGTGTGTATGTAGTTGTGCGGTAGATAAAAGGTTGCATTTGGTTGTTTGAATCTCTCATTACTGTTTCGATCAATATTTTCTAATAGTTAGAACGACCTATACAACCATATCAATGTAACGTGTAACATATGACATCCACTCCAGTCACGGTTTTACTCTTGTGATTTGTTGCATGGTAAGAACCGTCGACCAAGAATCGAAATTTTGCCCCCAAATGCCCTGGTACGGTCGAGAGTGGGGAGAGTCCGCTCTCCCTCTACAAATGCTCTCACATGGCCACGCGAATATATAGCCTCTGTCAAGGAAGTCCTACTCACTGCCTTCTCGTGCCATCACTGTTGTTTACGAAATTGAGAGAACGAAAAGCGAATGTCCGGCGCATCAACCGGCTTGATGGACACGGCGCGTCCACCTAGGGGAGTTGGAAAACCCTGATTCCAAACCAGTGGTGCACATGGGCTCCAGTATGCTGAAGGAACCAATGTCGTATGAACCAATCGTCAGTAACCGGCTACCATGGGACTACATCTCTATACGATGCTCCACTGCCTTGTGGATCAGATCTTTAGGTGAAAGGCTCCGGGTGTGGCTTGCTTCAGTCTGGGCACCTGGACAGTATCACAGCCCTGACACACATCAAATGAGATTTGTGAGGCGCATATTTATCTGGTGCTTCTTTGTACCAATATTTATGTGTTTAAATAATATAATAAAATAACTCTAGTCTGCATAGATTTCATTTCGTTAGGCTCTTCAATAAAGAAAACTCAATCATTCATATTTCTACAAACAACGATTGATTCATGTGCTATTCGTTCCCTCAGGATACTGGAGCTCATATGAGCCATTGTTTTGGAATCAGTGTTTTCCAACTCCCTCAAAGAGGACGCGCCGTGTCTATCAATCGTGGTAAATCGCCGGATATTTGCTTTTCGTCCTTTCAACGACACCCTTGGGACGAGAAGGCAGTGAGTAGGACATTTCTGGTAGAGGCTATATATATATATATATATATATATATTTATATATATATATATATTCATATATATATTTCATGTGTGTAGAACTGAATCTGTTTTGATTGTTTCGATGTATTCAGCATACACGATGAAGAATATTTTCAATGCTTCTTTCAGATTCCAGAGAAAACTTATCAATGTAATGGTGGTAGGATTTTTGTGTTCAGTAATCTACGTCAACAGTTCGCTGTTTACTTCTTATCACTTTCTTTTTGTACTGGGCTATCAACGTGTCAGTAAAGAAGAATTCTGTATCCTATCAGAGTGATCTTATATGACTTTCTTGCAATCAATCGATAATATGATGAACACTATACGTTAGATAAATGTTATATGTGATACTATAAGTTATTGACTCGACCATCAAGAACAACCTGTTCGTCACAGAGTATGTTTCGTAGATGAAGTATTATAGAGCATCTACACTTTTGGTTGCATACATGGATTCTAATGTATTGACTGTTTGGGTGGTCCTGAAAGAAGCAGTTTTTATTTAATCAGCGTTTAATTAGAAGTCTTGCTAAAAATACCGTCAAAATGAAAAGTCACATGAAGAGGTTTTGATTGGCTGATTATTACACTGCTACTATGTTAAGTAGCATTCTAGAATTATCAGGAAAACTCAATGACTTGAAAAATACTATAAAAATCCTATAGTTTCTGCTTCTCGTATATTTTGTTCCTTTTCTCTGGTGTTCAAGTCGTTGTGTAGTTCTAGCTTAGGGGTTACAAGTCTTATCATGACGTCTCTTGCCATCAGAAGATATACATGGCGAAGGATATGAATGATATGATTGAATAATAACGAATAAGATAACACCTGTCAAGCTTTAGCAAGGTATTAAATATCTATCCGTAACCATCATATGAATGACCTCAAAGTGACTACAACATACTTTTCTAAAAATTTATATCAATCGATGTTGAAATCTTCTGAATGAATTGACTGTTTGCAATAAAATTGAAGTGTTACAGTGTAATTTCTTAACCACCAATCAAAACAGTTTGTGCTACTTTCGTTCTAACCAATCATATCACGATAATGTTTTATCAACAGAAATCAAGAATTTCAACCAACGGTAGATAAACGTCGTTTCATATTCTCAATAGCTAGAAAGAATATCGTCATGATTGGTTAAAGATCTTCTTAATGGTTCCATGGAATCATCAAATCAGTAATAAACAATGAAATACCAAAAAACGTCTATATAAACCTAGAAACTTCTATAAAAACATTTGCGATCTACTACTTTGAACCAGAAGAAGATGAAGTGAGTATTCCTTGAATATAGAAACTCATCTGAATCCTTTTAGATCCGATTGTTCATGTCGTTTATTGACCTCACTTTATTTAATCATCGTTTTACTTTACAATTTCCTCAATGGTGAATACATCTGTGAACATCCTGAAGTAGAGAAGTACAACAAAGTCATTTATGAAAACACTTCATATCGTGATGTAAGTAATCCATCTGATTGTAGTTTACATATATCTATACTTAGTCTCTTCATTATAATTATTTACAAAGAATAAGACTTAATCAACCTCATCCAGTTGTGGATGGCGGTTTCACCAAAACTAATCTTTCTGATGTAAGTTGACTCCATTTCCAAGTGATATTACATAATCCATTATTTGTATAGCTTGAAAAAGTTGAACAGAAATTCCCATTTAAATATTATGATAGTCTAATCAAACATTTTAATATTCATTCTAATGGTAAGTCAATAATCCGTTGTTTTTTTATTTATTGTTGTTTGAACTTGATCCGATTTCTTGAATGAATTAGTTTTATGCTTTTTGTTTTTCTTGTTCAAATTGTCAATGATTCAATTCGTTTCAATGATCTGAATACATTTCATGCAAATCATTTAAGCAAAGATGAATAGTCCCTAACAATGAGATTCGTCAGCTGGATGCACCTACCTCTCAAAATTGATATTCGCTTTGAGACTCGAACGACTTACCGTTCGCTTCAAATGTCATCGTGTTATCCACTTACCTACTGAGTTCTGATAATCACTTGCTTGTGCAATGGGGTGAAGTTTTTCAATTCACTTGGTATTGTTTGTTTGAATCTTCTCATTGATGTTTAGGACTACTATCGATCAGTCTCTTATTTGCATAGATGCATACTGTGCGTATTGCCTTGATATAGCCTTAATTTACAAGCATTATAAGCAAAGACGGATAGTGATCAACAGTGGAATTCAGTAAGTGAGTTCCGTCTTACTTTGGACTCTCCAGCCGGATGTACCTGCATCTTAGAGTTGATATTCACTCTGGGACTCGAACCAAGTGCCCGTTCGCTTCAAGTGGCATCGCGCTATCCACTTACCTACTGAGTCCTGATAGCCACTTGCTTGGTTGAATCTTCTCATTGATGTTTAGGATTGCAAATTCTTTTACTTATTCATTACAAAATCATTAATCAAGTTGCTTGTTTTCATTAAATCAATACAGGTTTAATAAGTGTATTCAAAGATCGGTACTTTGGATTGATTGCAAATTATTTATCAGACACTCCACCTTTTGAATTCGAAGTTTTGGATACGAGTGAGTTCTAGTTTGTTTTGTCTCTTTAGTATTTAAATTGATTGTTACACTAGAGTTGACCAGTATATAGTGATTATTTTATTTGTATGACTGTCATACCAGAGTGTATGTTCACAATATGTAATAATTGAGTAGAAATGATAAAGTAAATAGTGTAATTGCCGGAGTTAGAGTTACTTATTGTACAGTCTATGAACACTATACTGAAGAAGATATCTCTTCGACGTGATAATACTCGGTAGTCTTAATCAATCAAGCTTATCATTCATGCAACATAAGCGATTTTGTACGAGAAGTGAGTCTGAATTATTGGCGTTAATGAGCTATCAAGTTCTATTAGATGTCGTTCAAATATTTTTTAGTACTTACTTGATTAATAAAAGTTCAATGTCTCTGAGTTGCTGTTTGTTAATCATTGACTATTCAACATTATCTTTTGTCATCATATTCGTATGATTATACACTTCCTGAAACAGATGACTAATGAGCTACCATGAACAGTCAGTTAGTACAAGACGCTTGACTCAAACCAGAACACTTAGAACATCAAGGTTACATACATTTATTTAGGTCACATATTAGAACTGATAAATAAAACAATTTCAAAAAAAGTCAATCAGTCAGTCAGCTACAACGTAGGACTAGGCACATATATGCATCGGTCCAAGTTGCCATACCTCGTTAGCACAACAACACTAGTAAGCATAGCGCGTCGTGGTAATCGGTGTTCAGGCATACGTAACACATGGCCCCAACCATCTCAGTCGACAAAGATTCACAACCCCATCAACTGATTTACCGTCATTCCGTAATACTCTATGGCTAACCTCACTATTACTTACCAGGTGATCCCAGCAGATGCGAGTAATATTTCTAAGACATCTGTGGTCAAATACTAGTAACCTACGAGTATCTCCTACTCTTAGTGGCCATGTTTCACAGCCGTAAAGTAAAACAGAGCGAACTGCTATGCAATATACTCGTCCGTTTACTCATAGACGGATATCTCGTCTTCGCCATAGGTGACGTAAGTTGGCAAAAGCCAAACGAGCTTTTTGAATCTTTGAAAGAAAGAATGTGTATGTGTATTACCGTATAGATATTAAACGTCTATTACTCATTCAAAAGCTTTTCGAACAAATTTTAAGGAAGTTAATTGTATTGAAATATTCATCATATCGTTGAATTGAGCATTTAGCTACACCGGTTCACATTGAACATGATAACTTGTATGCAATGTAATCTGTGGAGAAGATTCATACCTGCGGTGGATGATTTTGATGAAGTTTTCTTTTCTGAGCTGAATGGTTTGATTGTGGAGCTTTCATCATCCTTCTGAATGACATCATCAACACAAACTTCGGAAAGAAGAAGTTGACATTAACTTATTGAAAGAGATAAGTAATCAATTATTCAGAGATTAAAACATCTATTTTGATTTCCATTATTTCAGAGGACTTATTCGCAATCAAAATGTCTTTTAAGATAACAGTTAATAGTAAAAGTGAGTAACACATTGCTATAGTTTAAATTACTTATTGTACAGTCTATGAATACTACACTGAAGAAGATATCTCTTTGACATGATCCTGCTTGGTAGAGTTAATGAATCAAGTTTATCATTCATGCAATATAAGCGATGTTATTGGAGAAGTCAGTTTGGATTATTGGCACCAATGAAACTTTTACACCTTTACACTTTCACTCATTATGATTACTCAAACCTCTCCTATTCAGTTTGAACACATTAAACCTTTCAAAACAACGAACAAAAGCGCAAAGGTGTTATTATTATTCTGAAAAATGGAGGTAGAATTATATGTGAAAGTCACTCAATGTTTAAGTACATCCATTAGGACATGGATAACGAGTGCAGAGAATTATTATCTTTTCTGGTTTCTAAGGGAACTTGATGAAAAATATGTGTTTCAAAAAAGATAAATTGTGTTGTGTGTTCTGTATGCAACAAATTCATTTACTTATCCATTCATTGCATAATCATTCCTATCTATTATCCATTCGAATTCACCAATTGTTAAGCTATTTGTTTCTCATCTGCAACAAATAAACACTATGATTGGAGTCAGTTGATCAAAGGGGAACCAGATATATATGCGCTTAACAAATCTTATATGTTTTTCATGAGGGCTGTGATAATGCCTGGGTTCTCAAATCGAAGCAGGTAGTTTTCTTAGGAGGCCACACCCTGAGCCTTTGATTCGAAGGTCTAGTCCACAAGGCAGTGGAGCATCTTGAGGAGATGCAGTCCCATGGTAGCCGGTGATCGATGATTGGTTCGTACGCCATTTGTTCCTTCAGGATACTGGAGCACATGTGCACCATTGGTTTGGAACCAGGGTTTTCTACTTCCCCTAGGTGGACTCGCCGTGTCCAACAACCCGGTTAAATCGCAGAACATTCGCTTTTCGTCCTCTCCATTTCGTAAACAACACCCTTGGGATGAGAATGCAGTTAGTAGGAATTACCTGACAGAGGTTATATATTCGCGTGGTCATGTTCGAGCATTTCGAGAGGGAGAACGTACTCTACCCACTCTCGATCGTACCATGGCATTTCGGGGCAACCAATTCAACTCACTAGTTCCATATACACGGTTACATTTAACAATCAATAACTAGCACATTATTTATTTTTGGAATTCTAAGTATCAATAGTCTACTAATTGTAGGTTTTACAAGCAAGACAACTTATCTGATATATCCAAATGGGAGGATATCATTTTATTATGAGAACGTAAGTTGTATAATTCGATGTTCCGAATACTTTACATTATTATCCTGTTTCATATTTATGATTGTTACTGAATGTACCAGGTTACATTGATAGTATTGTTTGTTTGAATCTTCCCATCATGTCCAAGAGTGACCATCAACTGTAGGTACATCCAGCTGACGAGTCCTAAATAGGACGAAACGCGCGTCAAACTGAATTCCACTGTTAGCCACTATCCATCTTAACTTTCAATAACACATTTTATTCAAGAAGTTGTTAAAAATTGAATAATTAGATGTGTAGTACTATCAAAGAAACAGTGATGTGTTCGTGCCGAATAGCAACAGATAGTGTGTGTTAGAGTACCGTACCGAAAGAGCCATAAACCAATAAGCTTTATTTCACCTTTTGAAGATCGACTGTTCCGAACGTTCATTGTTGAATATTTTGATTGCAACATCTTTGCAGTTATTCACAATTTACATTTGAATTCAACAGACGTAGATATTAATCTTAGTGTGTCTCCTCATTCCATGATGTAAATACAGTTCATCGAAATTCACTGAAGAAAACAAAACTGAAGTGATTCAGAATATCTATGTAGACAAGATGGAACATATTTCGAAGGATTCTAATAATAACAGTATGCTTAATGTAGATGCAATTAGTTGTCTGTGAATAAGATAATCAAAATGATTAATTGGTTTTAATATATGAGTTTGTGTGTTGTCAGATCTTGACTCGAACCTTGAATACTTCTTTTCAGATTCCTACAAAATTTGACGAAACTAAATGGAAATCGAAAATGGCTGCTATATTTCAATGTGAAAAACGTAAGAAACGTTTTTGGACGAATTTTCATAGTTGAAAGCGTGAGTCAATTGAAGCTAGACCACCAGGGAAACCTGGACTCCTCAGTAGTGCGCATTCACTACCTCGCCTCGCGAGATTTGGTTAACATTTTAATATACTGTAACGTACATCATTAGTCATCTGTCAGTACTATGTGACTCTCTCTTTGCACCGGGTTATCAACATGTCAATAGAGAAAATCCCTGTTTTCCATCAGAATGATCTAATATAATTTTAAAACAGTTCATGTCTCCTATGTTTAATCAGTTAATGTAAATGCTACTGAAATGTTGAGGATAATTGTGTTAAATGAAATCGGTATACTAATTGAAAACACACTGTTCACATTCAAAGTTAACTAAATGTTCACAATCAGAAGTGGTTTTGTGGAGATTTCAGTTTAACATTAACACCATCGGATGCCGACTTAGTGGTCCATCGGTTAAGTGCTCTGTCGTGAGACTGATAGGTCCTGGGTTCGAATCTCGTGAAGCGAGGTCGTGGATGCGCATTGCTGAGGAGTCCCATAATAGGACGAAACGGCCGTCCAATGCTTCCAGGTTTTCCATGGTGATCTACCTTTAATTGACTAACGATTTCAACTATGAAAAATAAACGTTCACACTTCCTGAGGCGAAATTGCAGTATCACACCTGATTATGAATGATAGACCAACGGAATGCTGAGTGTTTTATATTTATGATTACGTCTTTCAAACAGAACACCACTGTATTTAACTACATTATTTCAGTTCTCTATGTTAAAGTTCATTAATAATGAATTTCAATATTCACATTGATAACTCTCACTTAACCAGGTATGTCAAGTAAACACAACTAAAGTATGTTAATGTCTTTATCGCAAAAGTGTGATTGACCGTTTGGAAACGCATCACGTCAATGTTTAACGGTTGACTGAGAAGACAACGACATGTGCATGATGATAATAAACAGACAGTATATCCACTCATCTATTCACTCACTCACTTACTCACAGTAATACAGTTACACATGTAGTCCTCAGTCGTATCACCACTGAATGAAAATGCAAGTGTGTTTTGTATAAAACAGAAATAAAGAAGTGTAACTTTGAACTGAAATCTCCCATATAAATTGCTCTATCGTCTCGCTTCACTGTAATCAATAAGTGCTGTTAAAAGATGAAGATGAGTTTCAAGACAAGCATTGAGTGGAGCTGATTAGATGGGATGCGTTGATTTATTTTTGAATGTTACAAAATGCACTCAATTTCTTGTCAAATGGTATATATTGATCGGTTGAAATGCTTTACTGAATCTTTAAACAGTAAATTTCTTTTGCATTTTTGTGTTGCTTCTTTGAATCTTTCCATTCATGTTTTGGACTGCAATTGATCAGTCTCTTATTGATATTTTGTGAAGATTGCTTCGATGTTACCTTTTATCACAAGTATTGTAAGCAAACATTGATGGTGATCAGCATTGGAATCGTTTGCAGTCTCGATAATCAACGAGACGAATCAATAGACAATACAGAAATGAAGTTGCATCACTGATTTCTTTACAAGATAAATCATAGATTGAACGTTTCCGTATTTGAATTCACTTGGTATTGTTTGTTTCAAGATTCAAACACACAATATCAAGTGAATTCAAACTTCACTACATTGAACAAGCAAGTGACTATCATGACTCAGTAGATGAATTGATAACGCGATGGCGTTTGAAGCGGACGATACTCGTTTCGAATCTAGTATGAACATCAACCTTAAGATGTAGGTACATCCAGTTGACGAGTCTCAAATGGGGCGAAACGTGCGTCCTGAATTCCACTGCTAGTCACTTTCCATCTTGGCTTATGATTCCATAATTGGTTTACTAGTTGAGCACTGATCACTTCCGAAACTTAGATAGTTGTAAACCATGATATTTTCTTGAGTTTTTCGTTGTACACCACTGAATTCGTTCTGAGAAAAGTTTCAGTTTCTTATTTTAATCACTCTTTGAATGGTGTAAACAATCAAAATTTTATCTTTTTGTGTTCATTTTATTACTCAAGGTCATATAGAACATGAAATCCTTGTTCCTGTTGAATGGATCAAAAGTGGCACGTTAGTGGATTTTGAAGCCGTCGGGAGTATGTCAAACCTTATTTAATCAGCATTTCATCACATTGAAAATTCCATGTGTAACTGTAGTCAGCTATTAAATGATATCCAAGGATCCTTCTCAAATAATAGTTTACTCACCGTAAACAACCATACATCGATTCATTGTTGAATACTAAAATAATAACTAAGAACCCCTTTTTCAAACTAATATTGAAGTCTTCATTTTGATGATTGTAGTCTCGATAAAGAATAACTGTCCGTTAGATGATTGTGCATTCTCTATTCTCAGTTCATGATGTATTGAACTATTAAAATAACATTTTGACTACTACGAGAATCATTCCATGATCTAATGATCAGATTGCTTTCAATATTCTTCGAACGAAAGAATAGTCTAATCATCAATGAGTTTTCATTGATCCAACTTGACACACATGACATTGATCATCACCCAGTGATCAATCAATTGTGATTACATCTCACTCCTACAGGATGTTGGTCACGGCCCGAATAACTCAAAGGTAACGTCTTTGACTGTGAAGCTGATTGACACGGGATCGAAACGGTTAGGGAGCACCAGTTCCCTCAAGATTACAGGTACACCTTGTTGACGAGTGCCGAGTAGCATGAAAACGGAATTCAGGATTTCCTGTTGACCACCTTTTAACGACATCATTTCACTGAGTTATTGTTGTATGCTTTGTAATTCACTTATCTTTTGTTCAATAACTAGAAATGTAATAATCACCTTATTCTTTTCACAGATATTTGTCCAAAAAACGAAACGAAAAAAGCATGCGAAAAAGCAAAACCGTCGGATATAGCATGTATTTGGTGTGAAAGAATTAACATATGCATAGATAGTAATGATAAGGAAACTCATAACATGAAAGTAAATGATTGCCGTATTCCGGTAAGTACTTGTTAAATTTGAAGAGTAGTTTTCAATATCACCAATGGGGCATAGGCCACTAACCAGCATTCTCCAACCTACTCTGTCCTGGGAATTCCTTTCTAGTTCTATCTAACTTTTGTTCATTCTTCTCATATCTGTCTCCTGATTTCTTCCTCCATTGGAATCTTGTTTGTTCTATCCCACAGTAGAATGTTGCTGATAGTGTCTGGCCAACGGACCCGAGGTATCTTGGGTAGACAACTGTTAATGAACACCTGTATCTTCTGGATGATGGCTTTCGTAGTTCTCCAGATTTCCACCCCATACAGTAAAACTGTAATGACGTTTGCATTGAAAATTCTGACCTCGGTGTTCGTTGACAAACAGTTGTTTTGAGTTCCAGATGTTCTTCAGTTGTAAATATGCTGCTATTGCTTTGTCGATTCGCGTCTTCACATCTGCATCAGATCCACCGTGTTCATCAATGATGCTTCCCAGATACGTAAAGGTATTTACATCCGCCGAAGCTTCTCCATCAAGTATAATTTGATTGGTGCAAGTTGTGTTGTATCGCAGAATTTTAATCTTCCCTTTGTGTATGTTGAGACCTACTGCTCCTACACTGGTCGTTTTCACCTGCATTTGTCGTTGGTGTGTGAGATAGAAGAGCCAGATCATCTGCGAAGTCCAAATCGTCCCGCTGTTTATTGTATCTCATGCTTTCTTCCATAAGTCGAATTCTTCATAATCCGGTTGATCACCAGGAGGAAGAGAAAGGGTTAAAGTAAGCAACCCTGCCTTACACCCGTCTTTATTTCGAATGAGTCAGTGAGTTGTCCTCCATGCACGATTTTGCCGTTTAATCCACCATAAGAATTCAGTATAATATTGACTATCTTCTCAGGTAAGCCACAATGTCGAAGGAACCTCCATAGTGTTGTTCTATCCACATTATCAAATGCTTTTTCGTAGTCAATGAAGTTGATGTAGAGTGATGAATTCCATTCAATTGATTGTTTCACAATGATCCGTAGTGTTCCGACTTGGTCTGTACACAATCGATGCTTAAGGAATCCAGTCTGTTGATCTCGATGTTGAGCATCAACGGAGTCGTTCATTCTGTTGAACAACACCCGGTTGAAGACTTCTCCTGGTATTAAGAAACGACTGATGTCTCTTCATTTTTCACACTTACTGAGATCGCCTTTCTTTGATATTTTGATCAGGTGTCTTTCTTTCTAATTTGTTGGTACTTGTTCTTCATCCCAAATCTTACTGAAGAGAATGTGGAGTATCTTTGCAGTTACTGCTACTTCTGCTTTCATTGCCTCTGCTGGGATGTTGTCTGGTCCCGCTGCTTTGCCACTTTTGATTTGTCTGATGGCCATGCAGATCTCTCCAATTGTTGGTGGGCTAAAATTGATTGGTAGGTCCGTGGTTGCTACTTAGATGTTGCGTACTTTGAGTGGAGCTAGTCTATTCAACTTTTCGTTGAAGTGTTCTACCCACCTGTCCATTCCAACCTTGGCATTTATTTCTCCCATCAAAATGGTCAGGTTCTTCGTTGAGCGTTTGTCGACGATTGAATGTAGCCTATGGTAGAATTGATCATTGACATTTTCATTGTTGTCGTTGATAATCAGTGTGGGCTTGTAGTCTTCAATGGTTAAAATCCAGAACAATTAGTTGTAGAATAATGTGTAATTATCACGGCGTTTGACAAATCGGTAGTAGATGTTCTAATTAGTTGTACAAATGTGAAGTGTGTAACTATTTTATCGAATTCTCTCCTGTCATCTTTAATGACAATAGGGGTTTTGTGGAGATTTCGGTATTTCCATAATTGAAATCATTAGTCAATTGAAGCTAAACCTGGAAGCAGAGGGTCTATCGGTTAAGTGCTCTGAGGTTCGAGTCTTGCTAGACAAGATCGTGGATGCGTACTGCCACTGAGGAGTCTCACAATAGAACGAAACGGCTGTTCGGTGCTTCCAGGTTTTCCTTAGTGGTCTAGCTTCAATTGACTTATACTTTTGAGAATAATAAATTAATTATGTGAATACTAATGTTTTTGAAGACCATACAAACTGAAACAACTGTGAAGATGACTATAATATGGGTTACAGAAAAGGTAAGGAAACTATTATAAGAGCTGTTCAATACAATGTAAATATTTAATAGATAAAAGCATGAGTCAATTGAAGCTAGATCACTAAGAAAAACCTGGAAGCACTGGACTGCCGTATCATCCTATTGTGAGACTCCTCAGTGACAGTGCGCATCCACGACCTCACTTCGTGAGATTCGAACCGACAATAGGATGGTCTAGCTTCAATGTACTCATGATTTCAACTATGCGAATACTAAATCTCCACAAAAGCCTCTTCCAAATATTTAATATTTAATAATGAATTTTATAATTTCGTCTTTCTTTCTCTTCTTCTTCTTTAGACTTTAATAACCAAAGTAGTGAAAGTGGAAAAACAGAAGAAATCGGATTTATGCTTATATATATTGATACCTTTAGGTGTCTCTTTCATTATTCTATGCATTGGTTGTATTATTGGTATATGGTTATATAAAAAATGTAAACGTCCTTTATGATTCTCAGATACTACTTATTATCTTTTGTTAGTAGTATATTGACCAAGTTATCTTTGGTTAGTATTTCATTTTATGTATATTCTTGTGTGTTTATCTATACAATAACTGATTTGAATAATTAAGAAGTCTATACTGTTTTGAATATATATTGATGTGATTGTCATTATTCCATTGAAATGGACATGCTCCATACTTAGACGGCATTCTATAATAGAGTGTGGAGAAGATTTGCAGCTCAGGTGGATGATTTAGTTAACGTTTTGCTTTCTGAGCTGGATGGTTCAGTCATGAAGCTATCATCGTCCTCCTGAACGACATTATCAGCACAAACACTTCACTTCTACCCGACGTTTGTGCTGATGATGTCGTTCAGAAGGACGACGAAAACTCCATGACCAAACCATCCAGATCAGAGAACAAACTTACATCGAAAAAAGAAGAAGTAAAATGAAAGTTTCATTCATCGTTGTTCTGAATATGTCGGTGATTATCAGTCATATGAATGTAGTAATCGAAGGTGACATTCCTTACTATATCAGACATTCATAAAACGTTCACCACACAATGAAGTATATAATACAGTCAGATTAATTAGAAGAAGAATATGGTGATAGACAATAAGAGCAAATGAGGTCAGTAGACAGATCATACTGTCAGATAATGAGCACTATTATTATCATGATTGTTTTCATAAGGAAACGCATATCAGATAAGAAGAACTCAAATTGATACGATATTCAAATACATCATCATCTTGAATGGATCGTCAACTAGCAGTCGTCAGCATAAACGATAATGAGCGAACGAAAGAAATCAATGTTGTGTTCAGGTTACATGACCACTGTTCATTGAGGATAATACATTCCTTACGGAAGATGTTTTCTTCTAAATCACTCCAAACATATATCTTTGTTGTCAAATACAGTATGTTGTCGAATAAAGTAGAGATGTAAATGGTGTATTCACTTGATGAAGATAGAGAAGATGAAATACAAACAGGTAGAACAATGAACAACCAGTGAGAAGTAAAATGGAACTGACATCATGCATCACTGTTTCTCTGTTCTTCTTTTTTCTTATTTATTGATGATTAGATTTGAATGTAGTCCGCTGTAATATAATAGAGAGGTCGTCAAAATGACCAAAGATGGTCAAACCTATTTTCCCAGGTCCCGCTAACTAGAGGAAGAAGTCCAAGGCGAAGTAGGGGAAATATTCCGTAAGCAGCCGAGTGCAAGTAATCGTAAAAGGAAAAAACTCAAACGTATATATATATATAATGATAAATTGTCCTTGGGCAGCATTGCAAAATAGCACACCCAAAGATACAACGGACCAATAGCATTTAAGATATTTTGCAAGTGAGAAATTCGACTGGAAGTTGGAATAAGCGCTTTTGGCGAGAAAACAAAGAAATTCAAATTTTCAAAATGAAATTACAAATTAAGACATTTACCAAGTAAGTTCTGACGATTTAATATCCCCAACATCTGTTTTTTTTAATAACGGACATTCTTGGGGTCCACTTGCATTTTGACTGTCCGTCGCCGTTAGCACAGTGACCATCTTGTGGACCGTAGATTGACTTGTTTTGCTTCTTCTTATGTTGGTGCTACCGGCAGATTAAACGTATCCTATTGAGGTGAGAGTGATTGGAAATTAACTGTAACCAACTACATAGGAAATCACATAGTTGTGTGTTCCTAGTAGAGAGAGGAATTCATTATATTCTTCACCGTCAAAAGCCAGAAGGATATGTACTGAGCGCTCAATCGGTGGTCAGTTGAATATAATCCGATGTAAACTTTTGAAGAATTTCTTCAAACGCAATTCAAAAGGCAGTCCTTATTAAAGAAGAACAGAGAAACAGTGATGCATGATGTCAGTTCCATTTTACTTCTCACTGGTTGTTCATTGTTCTACCTGTTTGTATTTCATCTTCTCTATCTTCATCAAGTGAATACACCATTTACATCTCTACTTTATTCGACAACATACTGTATTTGACAACAAAGATATATGTTTGGAGTGATTTAGAAGAAAACATCTTCCGTAAGGAATGTATTATCCTCAATGAACAGTGGTCATGTAACCTGAACACAACATTGATTTCTTTCGTTCGCTCATTATCGTTTATGCTGACGACTGCTAGTTGACGATCCATTCAAGATGATGATGTATTTGAATATCATATCAATTTGAGTTCTTCTTATCTGATATGCGTTTCCTTATGAAAACAATCATGATAATAATAGTGCTCATTATCTGACAGTATGATCTGTCTACTGACCTCATTTGCTCTTATTGTCTATCACCATATTCTTCTTCTAATTAATCTGACTGTATTATATACTTCATTGTGTGGTGAACGTTTTATGAATGTCTGATATAGTAAGGAATGTCACCTTCGATTACTACATTCAGCTAACTTGAAATCATAGTATTCCTTCAAAGTAGTCATTTCATTCGATATTTTATAAGTAGAATAATGGAATCATATCAATATTGAAGAGTAGAGAAATATAGATTGAACTGCTGCCCAATGGTCAATTAGTGTACTCACTTTATTGTTTCATACATCAAGAATCTCAATGAACATGGTCCACATAAATTTATACAAAATCTATCGACTAAATAAATTTAGTGTTGTAATGATTTTACGGTAATGTATCACAAGTGGGGTTTGTGAAGATTTTAGTGAATTTATATTGTTGAGATCTTGATTAAATTGAAGCTAGACCACCATGGAAAACCTGGGAGCACTGAACGGCTGTTTCGTCCTATTGTGAGACTCCTCATCGGTACGCATCCACAATCCCTTCTCGTGAGATTGTGAACCAGGATCTACCACTCTCGCGCCTGAGCACTTGACCGAGAGACCAATTAGCCAGCTGGCATCCGACGGTGTTAATGTCTTACCTCAACCAATCCAACTTTCATTGTACTGAGGTAGATACCTGTCTCTACCTGACATGGATTAGCTCCACTGGCCATGACTTCTCACTAGAACTCCAAGAATTATCTCATAGTGGGAGTCACTGGTAAGCATATGATTATTATCACAAGGGATGTTTGTGGAGGTTTTAGTAATTTTATATATTTAAGATCATGAGTCAATTAAAGCTTGACCAGAACTGGTAGATCCTGGGTTCGAATCTCGAGAGTGCGGGATCGTGGATGCTCACTTCCACTGAGGAGTCTCACAATAAGATGAAACGGCCTTCCAGTGCTTCCAGGTTTTCTATGGTAGTCTAGCTTTAATTGAGTAATGATCTTAACTATATAAATGTAATGTATCATGTTAACAGTAATCTGAGAGAGAATTATTGGATGAATGAGTAACAATGTTGATTCAGTGTCAAATCTATGGATTCCAGTGAGTTTCGAAATTTAATTCAAACATAATATACCTTCCGGCTGAAATTATCTATACATGTTCACTACTTCAAACGGATTACCTGACATTAATAAGAATTCTCATCAAGAAAAGAATAGACAGAGAGAGAGAGGGTAAATCTCGAAGGAACTATAATATATATGTGCGAACCAATCAGAATTGTAGATAGCAAGTTTTCGATTTGAGCTATAATGCTATGATAAAAATTATACTAAAATACGTACAATTGACTGACTAAATAGATGGAAACGTATATTGTCTGCTAGCAACCATAATATCTTTGATAGAGTCTTTTGTTACCTTTACAGAGAAAGGTTGTACACTTTTCACAAACTCATCTGAATACGATTATACATTTAGGTAATTTATTGAAATATCTAAATGACAGGAACAGTTAGCCCCTTTTTGATAGAGTTTTGTTCTATGAGGTAGATGGTTTGTTCGTGAAGCTTTCATCGTCTTTCTAAACGATATCATCAGCATAAACTTCAGATAGCCCCAATTTTAAAACAGGCTGCCAGTGTTCAATGAATGGAATAAAAAGTCTTAAACAGTATGATTTGAATATAAATTTTATCAAACAATAAATAAGTAAACATGATTACATAATATTTACGTATAGAATCCTTCCATAGTAACATTTTTTCTTGAATTTATTCCCTCCCATCATAAAACATCTGGTCCCTAATAATTACGTAATACATTAAAATAAATAAAAATGTATTAAGGTAATATTAACGTTTCTGGTATTGGTAACACAAATGTAAACAATATTAATTGCCATACCAATATCTATAGCTGAGTGGTTGAGCACTGGTCTCGTAAATCAGGAGTCGAGAGTTTGATCCTCCCTGGAGGCAATAGGTGCCCTCAAATGCCCTGGTATGACAGAGAGTAGGGCAAGTCCGCTTTCCCTCTGGAAATGCTCTCATATTGGCTACGCGTATATAATCTCTGCCAGGGAAGTCTAACTCACTGCCTTCTCGTCCCGAGGGTGTTGTTTACGAAATTAAGAGGAATGATAATAATGGTATATCGTACAGTAATAGTCTATGGATCAAAATAAAGCTTATAATAAGAAGGATACGAATATGAATAGTTTAGTTGCTTAACAATTATACAATAAGAAGCATACATATCATATTTGATCTATAAATAGTTTTCAAAAGGTACTATTCATAAGTCTTTTCAAGTTATAGTTTTAGACAGGTTAATTTATGCATTATTCAGTTATCATAAGCCTTGTCTTCCTTTATCTCGATTCGATTTGACTAATAATATTGAGTAACACTTAATTAAATAGGTTTGCTTGTATGCCTTCTACACCGCGTGTCATTTTACTTCATTCTCATCATTTCACTTTCGTCTCTTCATTCCTTTGATCGTTTGTCTTGATCTACGTTTATATAAAATATACATATTCAAAACTTTATTCTCGTATTCCACTAATTTAATTTATTCACTAACGTCATTAAACTTGATAATTACAAACGAGGACTGACGACATGTATAAGTTTTGCTTACTTACGCCTGTTACTCTCAAGGTAGCATAGGCCGACGATCAGCATTCTCAAACCAACTCTGTCCTGGGCCTTTTTTTCTA